CCAGCCCCTTTGGGATTGCAGTGGGGGACTGAAGCCTCTCCTGGAACACCATCAGAGCAGACACGTGCGATACGGGTCTCGCTCAAACCAGTGTCCCCAGCACACGTGTGACCCACTGAGCCCCGGGTGGGTGATGCTGTGGGGCTTTAGGGGTGTCTGGCTGCATGTCAGGGTGACACCAGCGTGGTCCTGACCCTGTCCCCCCGCAGTTTGGGGCCATCCGGGTGAGGTGCCTCTTCACCCCCTGCCACACCTCGGGCCACATGTGCTACTTCATGTGGGAGGACGGCTCCCCGGATGCTCCAGCTCTGTTCTCAGGTATCACACCCCGTGACAAGCATCCCATGGGCACACGGGCCTGTCCCCCTTGCCGGGCACCCCATCCCTGGGAGCAGGACCAGGATCCCCTCCGTGTCCACACCCCATTCCCTGCAGGTGACACCCTGTTTGTGGGAGGCTCCGGGAAGTTCTTCGAGGGAACAGCAGAGCAGATGTTCACCAACCTCACCCAAATCCTCGGGGATCTGCCAAAGGAGACGGTGAGTGCCCCGCATCGCAGCTACAGCCTGGGAAAGGAAGCCCAAAAGGAGGAGAGGGCTTGAGGCCAGCACTGCCCGTCCCTGGGGCTGCAGTGGGACCTGGGTGGGTGCCAGATCCAGCACCAGGAGCACGTTTGATGCCGGGTGCTTCCCGCTGGCGTTGCAGAAGGTGTTCTGTGGCCACGAATACACCGTCCGGAACCTCAAGTTTGCCTTGAAAGTGGAACCAGAGAATGAAATAGTGAAGAAGAAGCTCGCGTGGGCCAAAGTAAGCGGCTGTGCCCCACTGGGGTGGGGTGGGAAGGGGGGTGCTGGCTGATGTTGGGCTCTCGGATGTCTCTGGTTCCTCCGCAGCAGCGGGATGACGAGGACTTGCCCACGGTGCCCTCCACGCTGCAGGAGGAGTTCCTCTACAACCCCTTCCTGCGGGTCACGTAAGCAGTGACGGCCCCCACTGCAGGGCAGCCCCAAACTGGTCCTGCCCCACGCTCTGCTCCCCTTTTCCCTCCAGTGCCATCCCTTCTCCCAGTGGCTTCGGCGGCCGGTGGCAAATCCAAGCCCCGAGGGAAGGGAGGTGCCTGGGTGTGGGGTCCTGCACTGCACACCGTGGGGTACCGCAGATGGGCCCTGTGTCCCCCACCCAGCAACCCCAGCACAAGAATGTGACCCCCCCTTGTCCATCCCCGCGTGTGTTGGGGTCCCATCAGGGAGGAGGGGCCCCCCCCCCCCCCCCCCCGCCCCCCGTGACATCTGAAGAGCCCGTGCAGAAGTTCACGGGCAAGACGGACCCGGTGGAGGTGCTGAGGACCCTCCGCACCGAGAAGGACAACTTCAAGAAGCCCAAGGAGCGGCCCAACCCTCCGGCCATGCTCGCCTTTGACTGGGGGCTCTTCAGCCCCTTCCTGGAGAAGAAGTGAGCAGCCGTGGCGCCACTGTCCCCATCCTGGTGGGGGCTTCTCCTGGGCCGTGTCCATCCGGCTCTTGCTCCCGTAAGACTTGGCACTTGGGAAGTGGATTCTGTCTTCAACCTGCTTGTTGTGAGGCTGCTGCGCTCCCTCCAGCGCCGGGCTTGGTTACCCTGGTCCCCGTGGGTGCCTTCAGCGAGGCTGCGGCTGCTGGTGGAGGGTCAGGGGGGGCTCTGG